GGAGAGTGTTATGAATATAAAATGTTAAAAACATTGTTATTATTTGATTTTAACACAGTATGATTATTATGATTATATGTCTATCATTACTGCTATTATGATGATGATGATGATGATGATGAAGTGTAAAATGAGCCGCTGTGTTCTTTTGTATGTGTGAATATTCAATAAATAGGTGTCAACGAAGTTTGATGTTGCCTGGAATATTTTCTATATATTTTTGTCAGTTTTAATGTTTTTATATTTAATTGTCTTATAGCAGTGAACCAAAGTATATATTTAAAGTGATCTCCTTTTAAAGAGGCCTTATTTTTTACTTCTGGAACATAATGACATCACTATAGAACACTTGTGCTCCTATTGGCTAACGCTCCAACACATTGTACGTGATAGGCTAAGGGGCGGGGCATCTATAAGCAGTTGACCAATCACAACAGAGCCGGCCAGCTAACCAATCAGAGGAGACTGGGCTCTGGTTTCAGACAGAGGGTGAAAAGAGAAATCTGCCTTGTTTGTTATTATTATAAATTAAATGTATTATTATTATTTTTCATATAAAAACCTGCACTTTTTACATATTTTCTGTCTTAAAACAGAAATGTCAAGGTACACATTTTCTAAAAACCTGCAAAAAGACAACAAATAGAAAAAAAATACAAACAAAATATTATTCTCACTGACATAGCATTTCAAATTATATCCGCCGACGTTGTTTGTGTTTCTTTTGGAGGCTGCATACATTTATTCTAACATGCGTATCCTACTCTGTGTTTTTAATTTATATGGTAAGTACTCCGGTGCAATGCATTCCAGATTTATAAGAGGTGAAGTGTCATTTAAGGTCATGTTTTGCGAACTTTGGCTGTTTGTTTCTCCTGAATTCACCAACAGTTAGCATTACATAATGCCTCGTAAGCATATTTAAACACAATATGTTAGCGTGTTTTTGCATTTGCAGTCCATGACAGTACATGCACTAAAACCTATGGAACAAACCACAGGATAGGGAACACCACAACAAGCAGAACAAGGGCCTCTTTGAAGAGTAAAGAGAATAGAAAAAACAAGTTTAAATGGAATAGAAGAAGTAGAAAACACTGTTCTGTATTCTGTATAAGATCATATTAATAATATTTAGATTTAAAAGACACCAGAAACAGAAACGTGTTCAGCTTTGATTGATAAGCTTTAAACTGAGTATGTTTTGCATGCAAACATTTTATCTGTAGTGCAACAACTCTATTATCACTTTTAATGTACTAAACCTAAGAACAGATCTTGAATAAAAGCAGCTCATTGTTTGCACATCTGAAACTCTGCACACACTTTCTCTTCCTGTTGTGATCCTGAAGTGTGTGTTGCGGAGGAAACCCCTCCCCCTGCAGCCACCAATCAGCAGCAGCAGCAGGTGGAGCCTCCAGCTGTAAAAACCTCCACCATGTTACCTTCTCTCTGCACTTCACTCTGCAGAGCCTCCCAGCACACACCTGCTGCTCCCCCCCACACCCCAGCCTCAGCATGGCCACCCCGCTCACAGACCAGGAGAAGAGGAAGCAGATCAGCATCAGGGGCATCGTGGGAGTGGAGAATGTGGCGGAGCTGAAGAAGGGCTTCAACAGACACCTGCACTTCACCCTGGTGAAGGACAGGAACATCGCCACTCCCCGGGACTACTACTTCGCCCTGGCCCACACCGTCAGGGATCACCTGGTGGGCCGCTGGATCCGGACCCAGCAGTTCTACTACGAGGCCGACCCCAAGGTAAAACTGGGGATATAAAGTCCACTAATGCATCAGATAGTATTCCCAAGCTGCAAAAAAAGTATGTTTTTATCAGCTTGGAGAACCTTGAAAGTGTGAAATCCTGAGACTAGGCTGTCATTTAGGTGTGTCCTATTACAAGATTTCGTATTTTCGTTATAAGAACAACTCATTTTCTATCTTGCGATTCACCACGACCACAAATATACATTTAAATATAGTAGAAAAAAACGACCAAAAAGTGATCCGAACAAGACATAGAACTGAACTAAAACAAACAAGAGTCCTATGTTTTGTAGTTTGAGACCCTTAAATGTCATGTAGGTGTCTCCTGTTCAAATATTTGATCAAGCAGAGAGAAGTATTTTGTATTCTTGTAATTTAAAAACAAATGTTCCATGTAACGATTCACAACGACCACAAAGAGACATTTAAATGGACCCAGAGATGCAAAACTACCAAAAAGACAGACGATGGTTTTAATGTTTGAGACACCTCAAATTGCACAACCCTGAAACAAGGCTCTCATTTGTGTTAAACACTGACAAGATCGATTGATCGATCGATTGATTGATTGATTGATTGACTCCAACACAGCTAACAGTAGTCTGAAATGTGTTTTTTAACATGTTGAAGACAGCAAATCCAGATAAAGTCTGTGTTGTAGGTGTGTCACATCAAAGGGTGCGATTAAGGACAGAAGTCAGGCAGAACATGCACTGGTTGATTTTGATATTTGTAGATGTTTAGCCTAAATTAAATGTTCCATCTTTACCTCAATCACAAAGACAAATGTTTTTGACATGGTTTTGACATCTGAAATTGTGAAATCAGTTTCACAATTTCAAAAAAAATAACGAAATATACATAGATTTTGTACATGACACTTGAATATCTTCTATGACACACATGTTACAGTAATTAACTAAGT